TCCTCTTTTTCCTGAGGAAGATTGGCCCTGGGCTAACATCTGTGCCCATCTCCCTCTACTTTATATGTGGGACGCCACCACAGCATGGCTTGACAAGCGGTGCATAGGTCTCAGCCTGGGATCCAAACTGGCGAACCCTGGGCTGCCGAAGCGGAGCGTGCAAACTTAACCACTACACCACCAGACTGGTCCCTATACAAGGTTTTATAACCTCCATTTTCCACTTGCCAACTTGTCCTGAAGAGACAGCTTGAATTTGAACAGGGAGAGTTGGTGAGAGCCCAGGACAGAGGAGGGAGGCCCTGTTCCTGATGGAGACTAGTGTGAGCCAGATTGGCTGGAGGTGGGCGGGGCCCGTGGGAGGACCAGTGGGGGATAAGGGCGGGTCAGGGAGGGAAGTTGAGGCCAAATGGTGGAATGCCTAGGCCATGGAGCTTGGACTTGATTCTTTATAATGTTGTTGTCATCATCGTCATCATCATTGGGAGTGACTGAAGCTTTTGGAGGGGAGCAAGGCTTGAGTAGAGCTGTGCCTTGGGGACACGGGTCTGGCAGCAGTATGTGGTCAAGTGGAGAGGGCCAGGCTGTAGGGGTGGCACTGGTCAGGCTAAGAGCTAAGAAGGGGCAGATTCAGATCTGCTGCTCAAGGGGGACCAGGTGGGATGGGGTGAAGGGTCAGAGGTGCCTCTGGGAAGAAGGTCCAGAGCTCTCACTGGGTCCTTAAGAGCCACAGTCACTGAGAGCCTCCTGGGCAGGAAGGAGCTCTGTCCAGTGCTGATTTCCCGGCACTTCATCTGTTAGGTCTGAATTAGCCCACTTGGAAGAGAAAGAATGAGGTTAATGTATTCTCTGTCTTTTTTGCATTCATTCCTTCATCCAGCAAGTATTTATTGGAAGCTATGATGTGCCAGGTGCTATGTTGACAAAAGAATAGAGCCAGTCACCTCCTCTCTCCTTAACTGGAGTAACCTTCCTCTCCCCAGGTTCGAAGCTACAAGGGCCTGCTGGACTGTGCCAAGCAGGTGCTGCGAGAGGAAGGCGCGCAGGGCTTCTTCAAGGGCCTGTCGCCCAGCCTGCTGAAGGCTGCCCTCTCCACCGGGTTTGTGTTTTTCTGGTACGAGCTCTTCTGTAACCTCTTCCACCACATGAAGAAGGCAGACAGCTAGCCTTGAAGGCAGGAAGGGTGGCCTGAGGTCTACGGTGTCGTGTTGCACTGAGAGGTGCTGCCTGTTCCATTCCTTCAAGCCAGCTGTCTCGAGCTTGAAGAGCTGTTGGGAGCAGGGCAGCAGCTTGATCCCACCAGCTTGGACGCCACCAGAATGGCAAGGGGTTCCTCCAATCAAGAGCACGGGGAGAGCGCAGGACTTGGTCTGTGGGGTCCCAACCATGCCAGTCGGAGGAGCTTGAGGTTGCTTCTCCTCTGTTTAGCCTACGCTTGCTCTAAGGGAAACAGCTGTCATCCTGCACATATTCACCCCGTCTGCCCAGAGAACACTCCTGGCTCTGGGTGGGGCTGCAGCTTGAGTGTGAGGACGGGGATCAGGCCCTTTGCAGGGGTCTGGTCCCCACACTGGGGCTCTTATTCCCACCAACTTATTTAATAGACATTAAAGCTAAAAGCACATTCCTTATCTTACTCCTCCATCTTCCCTTCCAAATCCCTCCTCACATAGTTTGAGGGAAGGGATCCCTGCCTTCCACAAATTCCATTTTTCTCAGTAGTTGCCTTCCTCAGGCAGCTTTGCTTCTGGTTCCGGGGCAAGAGTCCAAGCTGAACTGGTCACTTTATAAACACCCTGTGCCCAGATCTTCGTGTCTGTAAATGTCCCACTCAGGCTTCTCTCCCCCTGAGGCAGGACTGGTCATGGCCATGGGCCTCTAGGGAAAGCAGATACCAGCAGCCCCGCAAGAAGGGGGGAGATGCGCTGATGGGCAAGAGGTGTGGGTAAAGTTAGCAGCCCTTGTCCCCAGTCTACTGGGATCACTCCTCTTTCACGGGGGCTGGGTTAGCCCTCTTGGGTGGGTGGGAGCTTACAGCTGGGCCAGTTGGCATCAGCTGTCCGCTCAGGGTGTTCCTCCTCGGCTTAGCATGGTGCTGTATGTATCCTCTGTAACCCGAAAAGGGCCACGCTCTGAAGCAGCCCAGTGAAGGGGCTGGTAGAAGGAAGGGGTTGGGCAGACAGCCTGGTGAGGGCACATTTGGTGCCCTGGGGAGTTGTCAGAGCACAGGAACCCACAACAGATCTTCATCTAGGCATAGAGGGGAAGGGGAGAAGAAAGTCTGCAGAACACAACTACTACCCTTTCCACCCCAGTGCTCCCCACCCCCGAAGGGAGCTTGGTCTTCAGCGTTGGTTCTACAGGGGGAGCCAGGCTGGAGTCCCATGCAGGACTTCCACTCCGCCCCCACCTCTGGACTCTAGCTCCAGCCTTTGCACTGACTCACGAGGAAGGCAGCAGCTGGGAGCAGGCCTTGTGTGGGTGACATGGCCCTCGCTCCCCATGGATTCTGGGCTCCTTCTCCCAATGTTACTGCCCCATCTCTGGCCTGGGGGCTTGTGTTATGTCTGGGACCCTGAATCCTGAAGCTTCCCTCCTCTTGGCTGCTGATTATGAAGGTCCAGGCTGTGGCTGGAGGGCACTCCAACACCCACAGGGTTTGGGGCCCTCAAGGCCTGGGCTTGGGGCTGCTAAGAGGCAGCTGCCTGAATGTATTTTTTATAAAATTCAATTGAAGTAAACTTGATTCTCTTCATCTCTCCTGCTCATTGGTTTCTTTTGCTGCAGCTGAGAGGTCTCTTCCTCATCCATTGTCTGTGACCACTTTGGTGGCTCTTTTAACAGGGGGAGAGAACTTTGGCAACAGGAAACCGCCATCCACACTTCTTTCTTGTCTAAGCCATGGGAAGAGGCAGTTCTTTTCCAGCCCCTTCTGTATGCCCTCCTGCAACCCAGGGCCAACCTCAGGGATGGATGGCCCTGTCTGGGCTGCTGGGCCCGCACTCTCCCCCAGCCCCAGCCAAGAAAGAACGGGCCAGGGGCTTGCTCAACTTTAGGGTCACTCCCAGCTCCTCACTCGTCAGAAGTTGGCAACTGGGACCCTCTCTTGGTCTGGCCCATTGATTTCAACTTACTTTACCTGTATCGTTTGTACATTGAGTAGGAGAGGAGGTTAGTGGGACTTGATCCAGCCGTTACAGCCCCCCTGCCTTCTCTACCTTAGGGGATGGGAGTGGGGGCCACACTGCCACCGCTTGTGAACTCCAGCCCTTCCAGCCATCTTCTCTGCCTCCTCCCCGCCTCCCGGACACCCCCATTCCGTGGTCCTGGGTGCGGACCACGCCCTCCACAGGTTTCTCCCACGCAGAGCGGCTGGGCCGAGTCTCCTCTTCTGACCCAATTTTAACCTGAGCCTCTGGCGTGAGGGCGTGGGGGGGGGCGCGGTGCCACCGCTTAAGACTGAGGGCTTCAGGCGGGCGGAGGAGCAGGTCCGGCCCTGCGCCGACGAGCCGTTGTGGTCCTGGACAGACCCGGGGCGAGCCGGGTGAGGAGAGGGCAGGGCTGGCGAGGGCAGGGTCGCCGGGGCTCCGGCAGGGGGCGCTGGCGAGGCCGCCCCGCCCCGGCGCCGCGCTAGGA